ATAATTTTAATAATAAAGTTCTACAAAAACAGAGGCTCATCATACCTTGTAGTATGCGTACGCCTTATTACCTTTACTGTTTGGCTTCTTCTGTATAATCGCGCACACTTTGTTCAGTTGGTGATCCCGGTACATACGGAACAAAACCACGCCCACCAAAAACTGGACGCATAAAAGCATTGTCGAATTTCCTCCAATAGTAATGCACCGTACGAGTAGGGGTGGTCAGTAGCATCCGTAAACTGCTGGGGCGGCCCACGGTCCGGCCACCTTCACGGGCTTCTGTAGCCCGCCCGTTTTCATTAAATAGTTCGGCTATGGAATCCTGACCTTCGCCAAGAAGTGGCACGATGAAGGAGTTTGCGGCGTTCGAATCTGAAGAGATCATTCTGCTTAACTGTTTCGACGAGGGCAACAAGTATCTAACGAGCGGTTTCGTCATCAAACCAAACACCTGCAAACCATGATTATGCAATTTGTGATTTACTTTATTTTTGTGATTATACAATGTATTGGGTAGTATCCTTCATAGGATTGAGTTTGGACTTTGGACTAGATATCCTTCATATACATAATTAAAATCTGGGACGGTTTCTTAACATGGGCGTGAAACATATACCCTTTTGGACTTTGTTGATGTTTGGTAAACCGAATAATTATCCAGGTCGACCCGAAATTATTATTTTATCTTGCCTTTTAGGAAGATTATTTATTGGACCTTCTGTGGTCCAATAATATAATTAAGTTTTAATTAGATTATTTAATCTTATCTTGACTAATCCTATCGTGGCAATCAAACGAGGCCTAAACATTTGACAAACCATGATTATATTATCATTAAATTCATATCCTAATTTCCAAACGCGGCCAAGAGAACTAGCAAGTATCCCACTATGTATTTTTGCAGAAGCATTAAATGTCTTACCACTGTGCTGAAGAGCACCACTGTTATTGTACTGGTGATAAAGATAGCATTCCCACGTTCCTGTGTATGGCCTGTTTTACTGAACTGCATGAGGAAAAGCAACGAGTTGGGTTATTTTCAAGTAGAAATGCATACACACGACCCCTATACAACTCTCCCTTAACTCATAACGTAGAGGCAATAGAAAAGCAAATGCACCATATTAACTTTTTCAGCATAGTTTATTTATAAAAAAATGAAAAGGTAAAAAAAATCCAATCTTGAGAAACAGGGGTAAGATTTACCTGGTTGTAAGCAAGAGCCATAGAAACAGCACCACGCATAAGACCAGCCCACCAGATTGTAATCTGCACAGACACACACACGCGCACAAAATAAAATAAATAAATAGAATTGGCAAACTTAATAGTAGGCCGAAGTGAATGGAGGTGATCTAAATTGTAAACATGAAACAGGGATCTTGAGCTCGTACTTGTTGCTTAAAACTAATCTTCTCGTGCTGATGCTTCTTGGTCAAATTAGACAGAAATGACAAAGGGAAGACAAAGGCTGCTCTGCCAACCAAAACCAGTACCAGTAGACTAGAACTAACAAAGACGGATGTTTTCGGGCTGAAAATGAGAAAAAACAACGAAAAAATAAGAACAATCTCCAAAAATTACATATAAATTCCCAGTTTAGTTGCATAACTTAGGATATTGTTATGGCTACTAATATCCACAGTTACTATACCTGCTACTCACGACCCTCCATTTCTCAATGTCTAAAGCATCCATGCCAACATAAAGAAATATGAAAATCTCAGCAACAAATGACAATGTTGCAAAGGTGTGCCTGCGTGATGGCTAAATTATTAGTAAGACGAAAAACAATTACAATAGAAAATAAGCAATAAATTCTTTGAAAATGTCTGAAAATTTGAAGATAATACCGTACTTTGTTGTAACTCTTGAGTTCTCAGTGACATTATGCCAGGTATAGTGTGACATCACAATCCCACAGAAGAACACAGTGAGGATACCACTTAAATAGAACAACTGCAAACAAAATACACCTCAAGTCAGAAATGTTCACTCCTGCGATTCAAGGGTCTACAACATAGTATTAGTCACTAAAAGAGAATGCCCAAGTTAAAGGAACTTTTGACAGGTTTTCCAGAACTTACTTCCGCCAACATGTATGAGAGGTAAGACATGAGTATCATGATAGCGACCTCACGATCAGTGGGAATGCCTGTAGTTCATTCGAAAGTAGTCAAAGAAATCAGAGAATTATTAGCAAAAGTATACTACATTAACCTTTCATGTAGGG